CCCCTGCAGCACGGCAGCTGCATCCAGCAGCCCTGGCACAAGTGGAGATGGGGCTGGTGCCTGGGGAACTGGCTGCCCTGCAGCTGGCTGGCCATCAGCTGTTGGGAACAAGGACATGCAACTGGCAGCAAAGTGGACAAATTTTAATACCAACCTCACTGAGAACACCTTACCCTTGCTGCCCACCCCAGGACAGCCAGCTGCCTGCCCTGCTGCCTGCACCTGCTCATGGGACAGAGGCCAGGCAGCTCAGGAGGGGGTGGCAGGGGCAGGAGACACCAATCAGGCTGGGTGACCCCTGGGAGAAAGGGGAAGAAAAGCCAGGCAGGAGGTGCTTCGGTGGTCTCAGCACAGAGTGCCCAAATTGCTTCTCCAGGGCTGCCAAAAGCTCCTGCTACCCTGCCCACTGGCTCTGTGCTGAGCCCAGCATCACCCACCACACCCCACACCACCAGTGGGAAGAGCCTGTGGCTGCCTCCAGCACCCTCAGCCCCTCTCCCAGTTCCACTGGGGTGGTTGGGGAACCCTGTGGAGAACTGGAGGGGCCAGTAAGCTTGTGGTGACCATCTGCAGGCACAGCTGTGGCCAGAGCAAGCCCACAGAGGATAATGGGTGCAGGCAGGGAGCCTCGGGGTGGTGCTGGCAGCTCCCAGGACGGGAGTGAAGGGAGCAGGCAGTGCCATGATGGGATCAGGCATCAGCACTTGCCACCAGCTCACCAGGCCCCACCACCTCTGCCCGCAGGGGCCCAGGTTAAAGTTTCCCAGGTAGGACCCATCCTCCGAAGGCCCCCTCCAGGTGTCGTGCCACCGCCAGCGTCAGGTGGTCGTTGTAGGAGGCTGCGACCAGCTGGATGCCCAGGGGCAGACCCTCGTGGCTCAGGCCCAGCGGGCACTGCGTCACCGGCAAGCCCAGCACGTTGAAGATGGCTGGAAGAGAGGAGGCTGCATCAGAGCCATGGGGACACAGCACCCTCCTGGCTATCCCACCCCAGAGGGAGCTGCTACCATGCAGTGCTGTGCTCCTGCCCTCTGGGGCAGGGTGACCCCCCAGATAGAATCCTAGAATCATTAAGGTGGGAAGGGACCTTAAAGATCATCAAGTTCCAATCCCCTTGCCATGAGCAGGGAACCACTAGACCAGGTTGCACAAAACCTTATCCAACCTGGCCTGAAAAACCTCCAGGGGTGGGGCATCAACAACCTCCCCAGGCAACCAATTCCAGTTCCTCACAACCCGTATAGTGAAGAATTTCTTCCTAGTATCTAACCTAAATCTCCCCTCTCTCAGTTTAAAACCATCAGCCCTTGTCCTGTCGCTGTCTTCTCTGATGAAAAGATCAGACGCATCAATCAAACCTGCCCCGTGTAGAGCAGGTACAAACAACGCTGGTTTTAAAGCATAATCCTAATCCTTGTCCCATGTTATGGAGCAGCAAGACACCTCTCTGTGCTGCAAAGCCCACTGTCAGTGATGGAAAAACTCGAGGTAAAACCCCCGGCTCCCAGCCTGCCCTGCAGTGGGTGAAGGCCCCTGCTGTACCCACCAGGAGGTGCAGCTGCTCACCTGTGTAGGCGAAGTTGAAGGGCATGCAGATGGGGCAGTTGTGCTGGGGAGCTACGGTGGGGTGTGAGGGGTAGAGGAGCACCCCGTCAGGCCCCAGCAGGGCCTCCATCTCCTCCTTCAGGCTCTTCCCCATGCTCACCAGCTTGGCATTCCCACCAGGGTTGAGCTTCATCACCTTCTCCGTCAGTCCCAGGGCTGCAGGGCAAGGGCACAAATGGGAACAGAGAGCAGGTGAGAGGACAGGTGGGTTAACCAGGCTGGAGAGCACATTGCCCAGCCTCACACAGCATCTCAACCCTTTTGGTGGGACCCTCAAGTCCCCCTCCCTGCCAGCACATCTCCACAGCTTTGCTGAGAGAAAGACTTTCAGCCTGCCCATCCCTTCAAGGAAAACATCCAGCCACTGGGATTGAGCAGAGCCAGGAAAGTGACCTCAGTGTTCATTAGACAGCCACAGAACAGTGCTAGTTAGGGTTCTCTGGTACCTGCTGCTAGGCATGAGACAGGTGCAAAGCCCTGGCTGCCTCTGAGCCCCAGTTCTGGCAGGGCTCACAGCAGAACACCCTGCCTGTAGCTCCACTGTCCAAGATCCATCCAACTCCCCCTCAGCGTTTGACTCGAGGACAGTGTCGTTACCAACACCAGTCTGGAGCTGCTCCCAGCAAACTCTAGAGTCCCTTCATGGGCACTGCCAAGGCACTGCTTTCATTTAACAGATTCCTCACCACCACTGCCTCTAGGCACCCTGGAGCCCCTCTGGCCTTACCAATGGCTGGGAGAGTGTGGGAAGACATTCCCACGAGCCACTTCACCCACTCCCAGAGCGGCCA